GCAAACTTTGTGTCGCCCAACTGGTATAGTGGTTAGCGTCGTTGACTGCCGTGCCGAAGGGCTCTAGTTCGAATCCCGAAGGAGGCATTCATGTTTGTAAATGTATAGTGTTCGTGCGTCATTGTGGCACTCTAAATTTGCGGTCAGCCGAAAGTCCTCTCGAGAGGTTGGTGGTAGGGGAAGATGGGCTAGGAGACACTCGGACCCGTCTCACTGAGGTACTCTGCATTAAAATTGGAGGCGGAACTGAGCTAAATCGCACTGTCATCTGTAAGGTATCCAAGCCCGTTGCCAACGAGAGGAGAAATCGTGCGCTCTTTGCCACGAAGAATTTCGTTGGGCTGACTATATGTCAGACAAATGAGCATTAGTCAACAACAACAACATCAGGAAATAGTATCTGTCTCTACCGAGACATAGACAGACACGTCTATGTCAGACACGAGACATACAAACATTATGTCTCGATCGCTTGTCTACCATATTCTTTGGAATAATATATTTTCAAAAGACTAAAAAGTAATAAAAAGATACATTTACTCCCCATGTTCTCATCTGTATAAACATTTAACATTCTACCCTGATTCCAAAGTAGAACATTATATAATTTCAAAATGATTAATTACAAAACTTAGAAACAATCTGTATTGCTAGCCATTGGATTCTTTTTAAGATAAAATTGACTTGAATTGAAATTTTTCGTCTATGTTCTAAAAGATTTATACTGCACTCAGCACTCCATTACACTTCAAACAGGATAAAAAAAAAAAAAAAAAAAAAAAAAAAAATCTGAAATGTTTCAGATTTTAAATTACGTCCAAAGGGGCGTTTTTTAACATTTTGTGTGTTACCTTTCTTTATTAAATATCATGCTCCTCGCACTTAAACCATAAGATCCAGTGCAACAGCAGTATCGCAAAATAGTTTTAAAACGAGCATATCTTTAGAATTTCCGATACAGAGACTCACGCGCTGGAGATAAAAATGTTTTTTCTGCACAACGTTGCCATTGCTCGCTTTGAAATCCTTGAGTTTGTTAATCAAAAATTCGTCAAAGTTTTAAAAAATAGGAAATCGATCATAAAACAAATTTCAAATTTCAAATTTGGTCGCCCACCAGCGGCCGAGCGGTAAAGTCGCTGAACACTGGTAGTTCGGTCCGAGGTTCGAATCCCGCGAACGGGCTGGCTGCATGGGCGTTTTCGTGGTTTTCCCCATGTGTAACGTGTATACGAGCCAGTTTCCCTTAGAAAGTCCTCCACGAAGGCATCCCTCCTCTTAGGCAGATAGCCCTCGAGGCTTTGCCATACTCACACACACACACACACACTCAAATTTGGTCTTCCACATGCTCATATTCGTTGGAGGATTACGTTATTCAAAATTCGATGACTCTATGTACCGTTATTTTATGACAATGTGAGAAATATACATACATTTACGCAGATTTTCATTATTTAATTTCTTCAAATATAATGCAGGACTCTAACATTTTATGGCAACAGTTTGAAAAGTGAACCGACATTTATCCGTCCCACGCAAAATGCCAAAACGAAACTAATAGTCCTTTCGGGATTCAAATCCCTTTGGACTAAAAAAAAAAAAAAAAAAAAAAAAAAAAAATTTAAACTGCTTGTTATCTGCAGTTCTGCTTCACAAGCATGTGTAAGAAAATTATAATTTTAAGTCGTCATGAATCTTCTGTTCATAAATTTACATCTGAATGCGTAATTTTAGAAATGCGTTTAATCGAGAATGCCCTTGGAGAAAAATTGATTTAAGAAATGGCAAAATTTTTTTTTGCATAGCATATGTGTGAATGCCGATTATGGTAATTAAGCTCAAGCGAATATCGATGCAGTATCATTTATCATTTCGAGCGGAGGAGTTGTCACTTGGGAAGACATTTTTTGATTTGAAATTCAATTATGAGGAAATATCACAGGTAATGAGTTTTTAATTAATTTTTATGACTTCAAATTATATGCCATTAATTTTAATACTTGGCAGGAAACAAAAGAATAATCTACAGAAAACTGCTTCTATTTCATTAGATCAAAATTAATGGAGCACAAACTAATTAAATTTCATTCTTTAAAATCTTAATCAAATTAATAATTTCAGCCATTAAAAATTACTGCGACAAGCCAATCATTTTAAGAGATTGTTGAATTTTTATCGTTACATATCATTTTATGCCTTAAATTTAAATTTCGTGACACAAACAAAGATTTACTTTATTAAAAAAATCGTTTTTAAGAATCCTTTCGAAACCCGAAATGCCGGAAAATGGCAAAGTAATTATTATTAATTTACACACACACACACACACACACACACACACAAAAAAAAAAAAAAAAAAAAAAAAAAAAAGAGGATATCAAGGATCTTCCAGAAAAACCTATTAAGACATGCCAAAAACATCTTAAAACTTAACACAACGCTAGAAGAATCAATGTTTTCACTATATATATAGAAATTAACACACGAACATTGTAGTTTCGCCTTCCAAAATCGAAAAGTTAGCAGGCACACTGCACATTAAATTAAACCGTTCGTGGTTTACGGTAGTGGGAGATAAGCTTTCAATGCAGGTGATAGAGGAAGAGATAAATTAAAAACAAGGTCCTTTCATTACACTTCATTGTTGAAAATGTCCATTATGTCACTCCACTCACAGTTTCTGCACTTGGTCTGGTCAATAATCAAAAGCCGTGTGCTGTGGTTCATATTGTTAAGAAATACCCAGTCGCGGTAAGATAGCTTCCCGGCAAAGCGAGTTTAGGGTTGCCAGAAAATGTCAAGGTAAGGCAAGGTTGCCAGATTTGGTGCGAATTCGCCCATTTGGTGATATTTATCGACAAAATTGGCGAATGTGCCATAGGCGGAGCGAGACATTCTAGAACGAATTCTTACTGGTTTGGCCCAGAATGTTCTCGAAGGCAGGCCAAAACCTATATAAACCTTGCCTGTACGCTGAGTACCAGTGCATCGTCGAGTCTACCTTGAGTTTATCGTGAAGAGTATCTTGAGTACGTTGATTTCAGTAGTATTGTCTTGAGCTCCGAGAGTGATCGACCGAGTCGGGAGCTGTACTTTAGCGCTTTGCCGTGAAGCTGTCTTCACCGTTATAGCCTGATAGCCTGAAGGCTGTGCTGCTGTGCCGCAGCGTGTTTATCGTAGTTCTTCAACGGCTGTACACGTATCTTTGAAATTTTCCTGTGAAATATTGACGAATAAATTGTGTTTTGATTCTTTATCATGTGTTATCATCAATCACTCTAAATCCATAAACCCGTAGAAAGTAATAATATGAAAGCTATGAAACAAGATGACACTTTTGACTGCTAGAATGACCCATGTTTTCTTCTGTAGTTTTTTGATAGGCGGTGCATTAAATGTTGGATAAACGGTATTTTAGCTTGTTACTTTTCTTCATGAAAGCGCAAATCCTCTTTAGATTTCCAAGAAATGTGCTAATTTAAATTCTATCGTAAAAGCGAAATGGCACAAAGCGAATGCTCGTAAACAGATGAATAGTTAATGAAGAGAAAGGGTCTGGAAAAGAGGAAATTTTAAAACTGATACTTAAAATTTCTTCTTCAGTCATTATGTTATTTATAGAATTTTATTAATTGCAGCATTGCAATTACATTTTTATAATTAAATAATTTATGTAAATTTATCAAAGTTAATAAATCACTTTCACAAAAAAGGATACCCAGTGTATCTGAAGGAAGAGCGCTGCTGATATTCTTTAGAAGTAAAATATATTCTGAAAACAAATTAAAATACATTTAGTTTCCTAAGAAAAGAAACCATGTTTATGATTTAAAAAAAAATTTTTTTAGCCCAAAGGGACAATTTGCCCAGAAGATCTATTAATTTCGCTTTGGCATTGTGCGTTGTTTCACTCTATCACTTTTCAAATTGTTGCCACCAAATATTACAGACCTGCATTATATTTAAAGAAATTAAATAACGAAGAATCTGCATGAATGTATGTATGTTTCTCTCTCTGTGAAACAAAAACGGTGCCTAGAGCCATCAAATTTTGAATAACGTAGTCCTCCACTCAAATAGGGTGATCTGGAAGCCCAGATTTGAGAATTTATTTTATTATTTATTTCATATTTTGTAAAACTTTAACGAATTCTTGATTAACAAACTCAACGATTTCAAAGCGAGCAATGGCTACACTGTACGACAAAAAAACAAAACAACAACAACAACAACAAAAAAAAAAAAAAAAAAAAAAAAAAAAAAGAAAAAAGAAACATTTGTATCTGCAGCGCACGAGAGTGTGTATCGGAAGTACTTAAGATATGTTCGTTTTAAATTATTTTGCGATGTTGCTGTTAAACTGAATTTTATGGTCAGTGCGAAGAACATGATATTTAAAATAAATAAATATAACTGATAAAACGTTAAAAAGACGCCCCTTTGGGGGTCATAAGCTTTCAGATTTTTTCCATTGAGATTAATTGCAAATAAAATTGAATTTTTTTTTTAATGTACTAATGTTACATTAGCATACTCATGTTACAATTACTAAATATTTACCATTATTTAAATATCTTCACAAAATGAAACGAATCATTTGGCGGATATTACTATATTTCGGAAGCTGTTGTGTAAGAATTTATACGCTGGTTACAAAAGTAAACTTCGTGCAAGGGTTCCTCCCGATAAAGGGGGTGATGTTATTTTTAAAAGGTTTTGCATAAAGTACTGAAACAAGTAAAAAGATAAAGTACCAGGAAAGAAAAACATTTTATAAAGAATGGCTATTTATTACTCATATTTATTTATTCTAATTTAGTCCTACCATTTTTTTTAGTAAGGATATTTAATTTTATGCATTTTTGTAAATAAAAAATTTAAACGTTAAAATTTTAAATGTACGAATTTATTGCCAGCATTTATATTTATTTACTGTTTCATCATGTATATTATCAACTGATACACATTATTTATTTCACATCTTGCTTTTAAAATAGGAAAATAAACCATGGGGACGAGAGTTTTTATTCCCATTCTTCTTACATTTCTAATCAATGCTGCATTATCTGCACCGGAAAAAGTTCTCTTTGGCGAACCTACGCCAATTGGCGCTGAAGCACGTCAATTACCAGCTGCGGATGCTGCCAAGGACACGACTTCTAAAGATGGTCGTAAAGGGAGGGTATTCACCTTTCCGGGGTCACAGCAGCAAGATTCCAGAACCCATCAGCCTGCCTACGTCATATCGTCGCCTCATTATGAAGCAACAGAAGACAGGTTTAGTTCCTCTGCTTCGTCCTTAGCTGACGAGAATCGTCTGCTGTCGCTCCTGCCAACCTTCGGCAGCGATGGGATGCAGGTATGAAATAGAAAATCGTCTTCGTTTATTTATTATTTTCTTAACGTAATCGATATAAATGCAACGTATTTGCCATGAAACCTAAAAATAATATTTATTTAAAATTTATCGTAATCGTACGAATGCTAGTGAATTTGTTTTACTGACATTTTTTATGTTCCTGTAAATTGCAAACATACTGATGTTTAGGTTTAGTAATTTTTATTTCTCTTTTCAAATTTAAAATTTATATGACATATTAATTACGATGTGTGTATATTAATAACTTTACAAAGAATAATGTATTAATGAGTACGTTTGAGCGTATTTTTTCAAAGCTGTTATTTATAATAATTAGACATTCATGATGGTTTATAATTTCATATACTAGGTGTACCAAACTCAATAGTATTTATATGTTTCCTTTACATTATGTTGAAACATAGTATTATATTTATTTCGTGATATATGTTTTTATTAAACGTAATATTAAATTCTAAGATTGGATTTAAATAAACTATGAAATATTTTAATAGAGAATTTATAAACGTATTTGGCTTTAAAATTAAGTAACAGTAATAACAATAAACGTAGTTAAGTTACGTAACGTAATTGGCTTTAAAATTAAGTATTATTCAGGTTTTCCTGAAGTAATTATCAAATGCAGTATTAATGAGAATTGTTCTATTAGTATAATAAGTAGACTAAAAACATTCAACAGGTGAAAACTGTAGATATGTTGATTTGTCTCCAGCGATATTCTTTATTCAAAGAAATATCAAGCTGATTTTTTATTGTCTTTTATTATAAAATTATTTCAATTTCAGAATCATAAGAATTAATTACATTTTATAAATGATATTTAATAAAAACATATATCACGAAACAAATATAAAATATATCAGTGTGTTTGTAGATTTCAGTGCTCATATATTTTAACATATAACACGTCAATATTTAACACATATAAGTTTTGTAGTAACACTTGAGAAATATTTTTCAACATAGAAATAATCTGACATATTTCAAGTATTAGTTTCGTTTACTTTTGTAAATAATATTTTCCTTACTTTACTGGCGACTATAAGAATGGTGATTGAAGCAATCAATAGAAATAGTCTCGAGCACAAAATATGAGAATTTGTATTACTTGAGGATTTAATACCTGTTATGCAGACATACGGGCAGATGTTTTATTACGAACTAGCAGCTTCGCTGCCAGCCTTCGTCTGGCTTTTAAATGTACCGGAAAAATGGCTGAAGGGAACACCAAACGTTAAATTTAAAAACTGCATAGAATTTTACTCTGCAGAACAACTTCATAAAAAAAGTTATTACGTATAACAAAATTACAATGAAATAAGCAATATCCCTTAATACAAATATTAATTATCCTAATGAATAAATTAACCAACTTCCCTTTGCAGAATCTTAAGAACTCAAATGGTATAAAGAAGTTTAAGAACTTTGTTTCCTAAAAAAATCACTCAAAACTTTTCAATATCTTAAAAACAGTGAAATGAGCAATAAATAACGTAATACAAAAAACAAAAAATTCTGAAAAGCAAAGTATAATTAATGATATTTTATCTTATATTTTCAAGAGAAAAAAATTACAATGAAATAAGCTAAATCCTTTAATACAAATATTAATTATCCTAACAAAGAAAATTAATCAACTTTCCGTTAAAGAAAAAAAATCATGCAAAACTTTTCAATATCTTACAAACAGTGATAAGCAAAAAATAAAATGAAAGCAACTCAAAAAACATAAAATTCCGCTTAGAATTTTATTCTGCAGAACAACTTTATCAAAGAAAAAAAAAAAAAAAAAAAATCAATAAAAATGTATTATATGACAATGAAATATGCCAATCTCTTAAAAAATATGACATAATAAATACGATGAAAAATTGTTGCCAAACCCATATTTCTAAGAATGAAACTATTCAAAATGATGAGATTTCATCAAAAATCTATCAACAACAATAAGACAGGAAAATTGTTGCCAAAATCACATTTTTAAAGATGTGAGAAGTGTACTCGGAAGTTTCATTTAAATTTTAAAAAATACAAAATATCATTTTTCCAAAATTGTTTTTGTAAAAGCAGTTGCAAGGATGAAAGTTTAACGTGTCCAAAAATCAAAGAAAAATAAACTGTACATTTTAAAAAATAAACTTTTTTAAGAAAAAATCCCGTTGAAAAGGTGTTAAGCCCCTTTGTTAAATAAATTTGTATTTAATCGATTTATTGAAACACGAAATTTATTTTAAGTTGGTAAAATAGCTAAGTCTTTATAGCTAAATCTCGCTTTCCTATAGCCCATTATGTCTTAAAATGACGCGATTTCGTCAATAAACATAAAATTAAAAAAAAATTCGAATTCGAATTTCGAAAAAATCGCTTCGACGTGCACTGGCTCTTGTCTAGATGCACCTATGTACCAAATTTCGTAGCCGTGGGTCTATTAGCTTACGCGCAAGCGCGAACGAAAGACACACACACACACGCACACAGACTCTTTCTTTTATTATATGTAGAAATTACAATGAAATAGCCTTTTAAACTATATATGGTTTCTCTGAATTGTTAGGAAATATATTAATGTATTTTTAACTAAAGAAAATGTTAATATCTGTTGATTGAGTTTGCGTAAATATTAGATGCAGAAGAAGGGAAATAAAACATCTAAATTGCAACGTGAAAAATTTTGGTGACAGTCTAACACCTCAAAGAAGAATTTGTCTTACAGAATTATAACTAAAAAAATATATATATAAAAATAATAATAATAAATTGCTCTTTGATCCTCGCATTCAGGTTTTAATCCCTGAAATTTTTAAGTACACTGCAGGGAAAACAAAAACAAAAAAAAAAAAACTGAGAGGTTTCATATTTTAAATTACGTCCAAAGAGACTTTTTTTCTTAACATTTTGTCTGTTACCTTTTTTAAATATCACGTTCACACTTGAACCATAAAATTCACTTCAAGAGCAATATCGCAAAATAGTTTTAAATTGAGCATATCTTTAGAATTTCCGATACACAGTCTGGCGCGCTGGAGAAAAAAAATTTTTTCCTGTACAACGTTGCCATTGCTCGCTTTGAAATCCTTGAGTTTGGTAATAAAAAATTCGTTAAAGTTTTATGAAATATGAAATCGATAATAAAACAAATTTCAAATTTGGGCTTCCACATGCTCATATTCGCAGTAGGATTACGCCATTCAAAATTCGATGGCTCTATGTGCCGTTGTTCTATTACAGTGCGAGAAATATACATACATTTATGCAGATTTTTATTTAATTTCTTCAAATATAATACAGAACTCTAACATTTGGTGGCAATAGTTTGAAAAGTGAAACAGACGTTTATAGTGAACCAACGCAAAATCGCAAAAGGAAAACAATAGTCGAAAGGGACAAAGCCCCTTTGGAGAGGGAACAGTTTATATCTCCCGTTCTACTGGACCGATTGACGAAATTCAACTTGAGTTTTTCATATCTCGAAAGCGCGACTTAGGATATGCATTAGATTTATAAATAGCATTGTTTTAATATATGTATTTTGATACAAAATCGGACTTTAATGAATTTTTTATTAAGAAACTCAACAATTTCTATGCGAGCAATGGCAACACTGTACGAAAAAAGACATTTTTATCTCCAGCGCGCGCGTCTGTGTATCGGAAATTCTAAAGATATGCCAATTTTAAAATTATTTTGCTATATTGCTGTTTAAGTTTATTTTATGGTTTAAATGTGAAGAACATGATATTTAATAAATAAAGGTAACACAGAAACATTAATAAAAAGCCCCTTTGTGCGCAATGTAATATCTGAAACCTTTAATTTAATTTTTTTTTTTTTTTTACATCAAACTACTGCATTTCAGGATTTTTGCTTTGACAAATATCATACACTAATAAGAATTTTGACGTAATTGCTGAAATACTACTATTTTAACCTCATGCTGTCTATTTCGGTTAGCGAAATCGTGGTATTGATGACACAATCGTGCAGAAAACAAGTCTACGACTTAACAAGCCATTGTCTCAAAAAAGTGATGGGACGCTTGTGCTTTACAAAAGGAAACTGTAATAAAATAAATTAAAAAAACATGTAAAAATTTTTTGTGGGTGTGTTTCGTACTTAAATTTAGTAACAATTATTACATAACATAGATTTTCTCAAAATATTAAAATATTAATTTAATAAAAATACAATTGTTTAGAACGGAGCAAAAAATGGCTCACATAAGTGATGGGACACTTACTTTTCCATCAAATATTTATCAAAAAGTTTAATTTGTAAAAGGTTTTTAATATTTTGTTGAATTTCCTTTTACTTTTAAAACGTGATTTAATCTTCTTGGGATGGATTCGACTAATTTTTTTTTTGTGATTTCTGGAGTGATTTTACCCCATTCTTCATGAAGCAATGATTTTAATTGTTGTTTTGAAGAAATGTTGTGTTTGCGAATTCTTGATTCCAATTCTTGCCAAATATTCTCTATGGGATTTAAGTCTGGAGATTGTGGTGGTGTTTTTATTATTTCAGGACACTTATACAGCAGCCAGAGTCTAACGTTCAAAGCAGTTTGCTTGGGGTCATTGTCCTGGTAGAATGAAAGTCGTTATGAAGGGTCAATTTTCGTGCTGAAGATTTCAAATTTTGATTTAAAATGTCAGTATACTTGTACTGATCCATTATACAGACAATAAAAACAAGATTACCGACTCCAGCGGACGACATACACCCCCCACACCATAACTCCTCCTCCACTATGTTTTACTGTTGGCACTAAGTTCTGTTTGCGAAATTCTTTCCTGGGTTTTCTCTACACCAAGATTCTACCGTCAGAGCCAAATATATTAAATTTACTCTCATCAGCAAATATAACTTCATTCCAGTAATCAGAGTTCTTATTTATGTTGGATTTTGCGAAAGCCAGTCTGAGTTTTCTATTCTTTTCACTTAGAATCTTTTCCTGGCTGCTCTACCGTGATATCCAGCAG